TCTTTTCTCCCTCGGGTCTTCAGTGGGAGAAAAGAAAAGAGGAAAAAGGGGAGAAACGGGGGCAGAGGGAGAAAAAGGGGGGAAAGTGGGGGAACAGGGGGAAAATGAGGGAAAGGGAGAAAAAGGGGAAAAGGAGGGAGAGGGAAAGAAAGAAAAAAGAGAATAAAGGAAAGGGAATGAAAGAATGAGAGAAAGGAACAAAAGAAAAGGAAAGAGAGAGAGAAAGAAAGAGAAGAAGAGAGAGAAAGAGAAAGAAAGAGAAGAATAGAGAGAAAGAAAGAGAAAGAAAGAAAGAAAGAGAGAAAGAAAGAAAGAAAGAGAGAAAGAAAGAAAGAAAGAAAGAAAGAAAGAAAGAAAGAAAGAAAGAAAGAAAGAAAGAAAGAAAGAAAGAAAGAAAGAAAGAAAGAAAGAAAGAAAGAAAGAAAGAAAGAAAGAAAGAAAGAAAGAAAGAAAGAAAGAAAGAAAGAAAGAAAGAAAGAAAGAAAGAAAGAAAGAAAGAAAGAAAGAAAGAAAGAAAGAAAGAAAGAAAGAAAGAAAGAAAGAAAGAAAGAAAGAAAGAAAGAAAGAAAGAAAGAAAGAAAGAAAGAAAGAAAGAAAGAAAGAAAGAAAGAAAGAAAGAAAGAAAGAAAGAAAGAAAGAAAGAAAGCTACACACCATTGGAAGGAGCTCACTATGACAGGGCAGAGTCTGAAGGCTTTATCTGAAGCGAATTTTGAAGACAATGAGATCAGCATCAACGTTGGAGGCTTTAAGAAAAAGATGAGATCCAACACATTATTAAGGTTCCCTGAGACCAGGCTGGGCAAATTGCTGAGCTGCCACTCAAAGGAGTCAATACTGGAGCTTTGTGATGACTATGATGACACCAAGAATGAATTTTATTTTGACAGAAACCCTGAGCTCTTTCCTTATGTGCTACATTTTTATAACACTGGCAAGCTCCATGTGATGGGTGAACTCTGCGTGTTTTCTTTCAGCCAGGAGATTGAATACTGGGGAATCAATGAATTCTTTATAGACTCCTGCTGCAGTTATAGCTACCATGGGAGGAAAATGGAGCCAGACCAAGAGAAATGGGAGGAGCAAAGTGACCAGGAAAGTACCACATCTTCTTTTGATGAGATTTTGGCATTCTACAATGATGCCTCTAAATTTGACAAACAACCCTTTGGAAACATCAGGAGGCAGCTCTGGCTTGCTTTGGATAATCCTGGGTACTCGGTTTTAAGCCGCATATTCAGCATCCTTTCAATAGTGGTGGTGCTGGGCTCCATCATGACCATGTGCCTGAACAGCCTCCCAGACTTTCAGATTGTTGACAGCAACGGGAACCCTGAGGAAGACCCTCGCTTTGAAATCGTGGAACATTTTGGTATTGCATGGTTCACTTTTGAACTGGTGGCAAGATTTGCAGTAGCTCCTGACTTTTTAAAATTTTTCAAGCATGCCCTGAATTTGATTGACTTAATGTCTATCCTTCCGTTTTATATTACGTTAATTGTCAACTTGGTGGTGGAAAGTAGTCCGACTTTGGCAAATTTAGGCAGAGTTGCACAAGTCCTGAGACTCATGAGGATCTTTCGCATCTTAAAGCTTGCTAGACACTCCACAGGTCTCAGGTCTCTTGGAGCCACCCTGAAGTATAGCTACAGAGAGGTGGGGCTTCTTTTACTTTACCTCTCTGTTGGCATCTCCATTTTCTCAGTAGTGGCTTACACCATTGAGAAAGAAGACAATGAGGGCTTAGCCACCATCCCTGCTTGTTGGTGGTGGGCTACTGTTAGCATGACCACAGTTGGCTATGGAGATGTTGTGCCAGGGAGCACTGCTGGAAAGTTGACGGCATCTGCATGCATCCTAGCTGGTATCCTAGTGGTAGTTCTTCCCATTACACTGATCTTCAATAAATTCTCCCACTTTTATAGGCGTCAGAAACAGTTAGAGAGTGCCATGAGAAGCTGTGATTTTGGCGATGGCATGAAAGAGGTCCCATCCATCAACTTAAGGGACTACTATGCTTATAAAGTTAAATCCCTTATGGCCAGTCTGACCAATATGAGCAGGAGTACCCCCAGTGAGCTGAGCCTGAATGATTCATTGCATTAGTGTACAAGTCTGACAGCAGTTTGCATGAGAGCTATCAAGAGCTATGTCTATAAATGTTTTACTCTGTCTTTTTTTTTTCTTAGAGGATAGTGTTGCTGACACTGCACTTTGCACTTGAGAAACTAAAGACATTTCTATTACAAGTTGACACTTTGCACATCTTCATCTTGTTGCATATGGTACTAGATGCTGACTTTTCCATATGAATGTTACCACTTCCATGACATTAGTGCTAGTGGTATAGTGATGACCTGTTACTTTGTGCATTTTCTCATCTGAGCAGAGATATGAACGTACCCAAGTGGAATATAAATTTTCAGCTGTGACATGAGTAATGAAAAAATCAGCTATCACCTATACTGGTATCTGTACTAGTGTAGGACTTCCCATGCATGCTACAACAGTTTAAAACAATCCTGTGAATCGCCGATACAAGAACACTCTCGCCCATATTGCTGACCAGTGGTTCTGATCATCACTTGTCTGAAAACACCTCTGAGCTTCCCATTTCAGTGGAAGTTTGCTTACTCTTGAGTATGTGTGGCAAAATCTGGGTGTTCTTGTTCTGGAATGTTGTGTATAGTAGTATTTTTCAGAAGCTTCTAATGATAAACCTACCTCTGCTTCCAAGATTAGGTCAATACTGAGCCCACTGAAGAAGCCCAGCCCTCATTTTCAGATAGCTACGTGTTCAAAGACTACATTTCCACAAGTGTCTCTGGGTATGGAGGCCCATGTAGACCTCTCAGGATCCCATTTCCAGAAGTGACCTGCACACAGCTCAGTCCCAGTGCAGCTGCAGATATGCTGCATTTCAGTCCTTCAAAATGGTTCTGAGATTAGACACGCAAAGACGTGGGCTCTCAACAATTGGAAGCTCCAATGAAAAACCTGGATTTATTTAATGAAGTGAAATATTCCTACATGAACAGTACAGGCAGCATTTTAGGAACTGACATTCATATACTGCAAAAAGACTAATTATAAAGATGCCATATGTGGTGCTGAGATATAAAATCTAATTTTATCAGAAAAGCTTGAAAGCAGGTGTTGATGACAGACAATTCCATTAAGCTTTCTGCCAAGGAAACTCTAGGGAAAAAACCACTCTGTAAGTCACATTCTCCCTTAGAAAGGAACTCACAATTTACAGCAAAGGGAGAGTATAAGGACGTAAGAAGGGAACAAATAAAGAAAAAGAGCTTAATACTGCACTATCTGTGGGTAGATCCTCCTAGCTACTTCTGTGATGCAGTCAATTTAAATCCTTTCAAGGGCTGGCATGTACTTTAAAAAATAAGTGAGATCCTCTGGGGTTTCAAGAGTAATCATGAATCTGCATAAAGCTGGTTTTCAAGTGCTCAGTCTCTTTCCTTACACAATTGTACAAACACTTGCAGTCAACAGGCAGAAGGCTCTGCTTCCCTCCTTTTACTTCTTGGGATCTGTGCTAGAAAAACTACTGGCACTCAGTGGGCAGAACAGCATTTCTCTTCAGATCTTGCTGCTTTTCCATCCCATTTATTACATGTAATGTTCCAATTAATTTTTTTGTTTGTTTGTTTTACTTGTGAAGACTAGAGAGTTTCAGAAAATAAAATCAAACTAGTTAGAAGAGAAATTAAAATACTGAAGCTAAAATTGTCATGTTTGGAATCCTGTGTTTGTAAACCGTGACAAGGGCTGGCCCAACTGACAGAATAAAGTAAATATGGTACTAATAGATAATTGCATTTTTTAGGCTATTAGAGGTTGCTGTCTGGTCTGGAACCTTTGTTGCTTTTGCTGTATCAGCTCCACCTAAAAACCAGAGAGCTGAGCACCCAGGGTCAGACTCCTGTTTGCCCAGTGATCTATCACAAAATACAGTCTGAAATAATTTAGATACCACCACACCCACCACCTCATTTCCTTGGAACACCCTCTCCTCACATCAGTTAGTAGCTGGTGTAGGCCATGAAGTGTGAGGGAGATGGGTCCTTTCCAACCCTACCAAAGATTTCAGCACAAGTTACGAAGTCAATTGGCAAGACACTGCTCACTGTCCCTGAAAATAAAAGAGCTAGGTAGCCTGAATTAGGTGTCCAGACTCAAAACATTTTGCTAAGGTTTGCACTTCTGGAGGGCTGGTTCAAGTCCTCTGTCCCTGACTTGTACTGTGTGTGTGTAAACTATGACAAACCCGCCCAACACAGGGACAGCATGAGGTCACCTGTTGGACTGAAATACCAAGAAAGAAATACAGGAAGCAAGAGGTGTGTGCTTGTGCACTACAGACACCCTGGTCGGGTTACGTGCTGCAAGGGTGTGTGCGAAGAACACTGCAGGCTCTCACTAGGGCTGTGGACTGGGGGCCTTCAGAGAATCCAGCTCCTAGCAGGGGTTTTATCTCATTTTGCAAGCAGTAGATTCACAGAGTTGAAAACCAGTGACTTCCAGGGCAGTTATTGGATGAGATTTGTAGACTTGCCAAAGAGGCACAAATTGCCTCAGCTGTTGCTAGTTTAACATTGCAAAGGCTGGACCCAAATTTTGTAACACATCATTTCAATAACCTATAGCTTATCTTATGTTCTAGATTTATTACTATTTGTGGGGCTTACGCTCTGTCATTTCTGCAAATATTGAATGGAATGTGTCCAAATTGCATTTTACTAAAGAAAATGAAATACCCCAAGGAATTCTGACTTTTATTGTACTGGTCAAAAAGAATTTTCATTATTGCATTTTTATATAAGTGCTTTGGATCAAAGACACTAAATAAATAAAGTACTGAAATTTAATATGTTCTTACTAAAATGACAATGACTTTACACAGTGCACAGGAATTCCTTTCATAAATGTAACTAACTCCATGTTAAAAGTAGTCACATTTTGCTCCCCCCTCCTCCTGAAGACCATTCCAGAGCTGTGCCGCACTCCAAGGATTGACCAATTTTTAGCATAATTTTATTAATGGCTGCTTTATACAGGATTTTTTTCTTTTTGCCAACACTGTTCTTTAGCTTTAATATTTCATTTTCCTCTTGGTGTATGCATGGTGTATTTACAGACAGCAACCATATGCCCTTACGTGCTTGTTTTCACAGGATTATACCTGCCAAGCTTCCTGTAAGTTTTCTTTTTGCAAGTCATGTTCCCCTGACCATCCTAGGGGATGTAGCCTTTTTTTCTGCCTTACTTTTGCTTAGATTTATTATGTTTGAGCTGGCATTATACAGTATTGTACAGCAGTTTTAATATTTGCTTATGACTAACTGAATTTTTTACTGAGCAGGATAATTTAACGATTTAAGTAACGTTGTCTTAGCTCCCCCAAAATATCTAGGTAAGGAAGAATAAGGCACACCTTTCCTGCCATTTTATGAAGTAACCTCTATTCTAGGGCTTAGTGCAGTAAGTGCTGAGAAACCTTCTCTCTCATTAAATAAAAGGTAAAGAAAAATGTTTACTCATTGAAGGAAAAATTCAATCTCTCCAAAGCCTCACAGGGGAGAAGAGGCAGTGTACTGTTTGAGTAGTCAGTACTTTTGCCAGATTTATTCACTCACTGTTGTGTAAGAGCAGGGCATCTGCACTTCTATAAACCAGGATGAGAGGACTAATTGGCCACTTTCTCCAGAGTCTGAAACTTGAAATTGCTGTGATCAGAAATCTCCTTACTGTGGCTGTGCAGTTTGTGAATGAAGAACATTGCACTGGCATGTGCTCCTCCTGCCTTGTGATGGTCACCTTCCAGGCACCGGTGGAAATGCTGCACCTACTCTCTTCCATCTGAGAGCTATGTATTGTTTAAATGAGGACTGTGGTAATATTTCAAACGAGGAAACTTACATTATTGCCAGGATAAACTCTCAGAGAAACTGGATTTCTAGTACATATCTAGGCTATTATGAGAGTTGGAGATGTCCTTGAGAAGCAATATGTTACGTGATTTTCCTGAGGTGTGAAATCTGTATACAGATTGTGATTAAGCCTTTTATGTATGTTCAGATTTTGTATTATTGCCTGGTTTATTATTCACTTACTTCCCTTCCCTGCAGACTATCCATTTTGAAAGCAGACTGTTTTTTCTTCACATGTTATGTAGAGCATGAGCTACTTCATGTCGCAGACTTAAAAACAAAGAACTTTGCATTTAATTTTCCAACTTTAATACCTCCAGTATTTGTACCTTTTTGTATAGACCTTAACGAGACTGCAGGGAACTACTGTATCTGGTGCTCTTTGTACTTCCCTGCAGACTATCCATTTTGAAAGCAGACTGTTTTTTCTTCACATGTTATGTAGAGCATGAGCTACTTCATGTCGCAGACTTAAAAACAAAGAACTTTGCATTTAATTTTCCAACTTTAATACCTCCAGTATTTGTACCTTTTTGTATAGACCTTAACGAGACTGCAGGGAACTACTGTATCTGGTGCTCTTTGTACTGTGTTTCTTGTCCCAGTTGTGTATAACGCACTCAAGAACTCAGCTTTGTGCCACAAAATGGAAATTAAATGCATAAAAAATGATATTTCACTAGGGATTAAAAACTGATTTAAGTTTCAGGATATTCTGAGTATATATTACAATCAAAGAGAAGCCTGGGTCTCAGTGTGAAGACAAATTTCTTTTAAACATCTACATCAGGCTCGATTTCTATTTTTAGAAGTGCTCTTAATTGGTGGTTGTGTTGGGGAACCCACATTTTTCAGTTGAACAAACAGTGCAAGCTTCTTGTTCTCTACCTGACAGATTAGGGACTAAGTAACATACCACCAGCAGTTGTAGGCACTAAATCAACTTGACATGACCTTTCATCTCTTCCAAAACAACCCCCATCCTTAGAGGCCCCAGCTGTGCACATATAAGCAGCAGAAAGCCCCTGGAGTAACTGCTCTTGCTGTGCTAGTTATCCATTTCCTCTCACAATACTCCTGACTTTCATCTACCTTTGATGGTACTTTCAAACAACATTCAACCCAAGTCACCACTCACATCCCTCAGTGAGGTATTGTGCCAGAACTATTGTTTTCTCATCAGGTTATTCTTAATTTCTTTTCCAATTTATGCACCTGGCTTCCCATTAAGTTAATCCAGAAATTAATCCGATCTCCTGTAACTAATTTCCAAGTTGCCCACTATTCAGGCAGGGTAGAAGAATATTCCCATCCTGTTTCTAAAGCATCTTTTACTGATCCTGCCTTTTTCCTTTAAAAAAAAAAAAGATTATGCTTCTCATCTGAGAATGATTTACTGGGTTAACAGTGGAGCAATGGGTAATGTATTATTCAAAGCAACAGTTCTGCAGAGCAATCACTGAAGCTGCTAAGAAACATCACCCTCATTAAAGACTGT